GAGCTTGAGGTGTGAGGACAGGAGCCAGAGGGAGGAGACCACCATGTTACTTTAGTCGGTCACGGCCTGCAGTCACCTGTGTCCACAAATACACCTGGAAGGAAGGAGAGCTGAAGCCTTGTGTCGTCTTTACTATATTATCATTGTTGTTTTAGGAAGAAGAATGCCGTCCCTGTGATACACTGATAGATACCCTGTCCATGATGTATCCCACCTGCAGTCCCCCATGACCGTGGAAAGGGATGGACGGATGGTTTTTCATACTTCAGAGAAGAGTTGAGATCTGACAAACCACGTCCCATTTAAATACAGCCCGTTATCATTTGCAGTATTCCTCTATTAGCCCCTAAGGGCCATATTTAGAAGTTCAACTTTTTCAACATATGCCCTATAAGGCTGCAGCTGTTATGCTTGAAATATACTTGATACTTGTAAAAACATGTGTTGAAATATACTTGATACTAATATATTTTGAAATATGCTTGATTGTTGAAATTTGGTACAGACGTTCACTGAAGAAGGAACTAATTGGTCAAAAGTCAAAGGTCACTGTGACTTCACAAAATATCTTTAGCTGTAACTCAAAAATTGTAAATGATAATTGCAACACAATTCAGCACAAAGGTGCTAATATGTCTAACAGAATAAAATTTGTCATTCAAAAGGTCAAAGGTCAACTCTAACGGGATATCAGTCAATCGATCAAATTATATTTGTATAGTCCATATTTACAAATCACAATTTCACAATATCATAATGTTCATATAACGCCATTATCTGGCCATTGTTCAACACCATTAGTGAGGAACAGATGTGGAGATTGTGAGCATATGTTCTGTTGCTTGGAAATCCCCATTAAGGGTATAAAGTACGTAACTTTATAGTCAGTCTACAGTGACAGCTGGTCGCTTCGGGGTCACAATAAAATATTTTTAAAAAACAGTCAACACAATTATTAAAGATCGAACAGTCTATCATGGATTTGTGATGTATCAGACGTCGGACCAACAGTGTAAAACCAACGCAGAAACCAGTGGCCAGACAACACTGGTGTATGGGGCCCTGCTTTACAGTGACGATGGATGGCATCCTTTTGTATTGTGTGTCATTATTTGATCAAATATCTGTCTTTATAGTTTTTATGTCGAGTACAAATGTGTGAATAAACTTTACTCTGACTGCTCACTGTGGTGTTGACCACGTTATTCCACACTCACATACAAACAGGCTCTGAAACCATGGTCTCTGACGTCACGGACAGGTATGTCACTCCAATGGATCCAATCTGATGAAACTATTGTTGTTTTACTGCTGATGTGAAGAACAAGAGGACAATCTGCAGAAAACTGATTCGGTGCTTCAGCTCCATTGGATCCCATTCAACCTGGGCTGCAGACGTCTTCGTGTTTACGAGTTCCTCTGCTCTAACGAACTGATAAACATATTTTTCTTCTTGTTGATTAATCCATTAGCCGTGCTAATGCTAGTTTTCGGTCTCAGCGCTTTATTTGAAGCATGGCGGATAATACGGGTCGCACGTGAACGCAGCACGGATCATAACAGAAGTCACGTGACAGCTGCTCTCTGTCACATGACTTCACTGTGAGCGGATCGCTGGTCCTCGTGTGTTGGACCCTCTTCATACTCAGTCCGCGGTTGGACCTGACTTCCGACATGAGTCCGACCCTGTGTCTCGTCACTGTGGCAGTGTTCGTGTTGTTCGCCGAGTCGCGGCCACACGCAGACCCGAAGGTAAGATCCCGTCCTGCTGTTTGTGTGAAAGCTCACTCCTGGTTTGACTGCACGTTCCCTGGAACTGAAATCAAAACCAGAATGTCTCCATTTAAAGTTCTGTCGTGTAAAAGTGTTTGTGAGCGTACGAAGTGAAAATGGAATGAATGACAAACTGACTCAGATGAATGTGTGTTGCACATTTCGTTTCTTCTCGTAGTTAAGAAATCCTGATGGAGTCCAGACAGAGCCCCGGTTCACAGAGAAATACTTCACTCAGACTATGGATCACTTCAACTTCAACAGCATGGGGAATGGGACGTTCAGCCAGCGTTACCTGATCACAGGTAAGAGCAGGTTCCTGTTACAAATATGACAAAGCTAAAGGGCAAACGACTCCATGTGTTGTTCCTCTCTCTCTCCTTTTAGATGAGTACTGGGAGAAGGGCAGTGGTCCTATTTTCTTCTACACAGGCAACGAGGGAGACATCTGGGAATTTGCCCTCAACTCTGGATTCGTCACAGAGTTGGCTGCTCAGCAGAGGGCACTTGTCATATTTGCCGAACACGTAAGAAAACACAGATGGTGATTGCAGGTTGTGTGGAAAAGGTGGGCGGATGGTTAAAGTTTGACTCATACTCTCCCACATCTCCAAATTCTACGAGGCTGTTTGGTTTTATATTATCAGCCGCTTGAACAGTAGAACAAGTCGACCCGTAACAAAATCGAATCTGCTCGTGACACCAAGAGAAGGGATCATGCTGTGGCTCTGAGGGAATCTCCCTGCTGTGATTAAAAGATGAAACTGTGGCCTCAAAACGTCCTGACACACATTCAACGGTATATTTTAATATCCACGTGCTAAAAAAACAGTCAACTGGACTTTTTTACTTTCTTAAAGATGTTTCACCTCCCGTCCAATGTTGTGATCCTTATGTTGCTGGAGTATGTGGAGGATTTTCACCAAACACCACATCCCAGTACAGTTCAACCCTACCAACACACTGAGGCAGGAAGTGACAAAGACAAAACACCCAGAGAGAAGCAGAGCAAAGTAGCATTTCAGTTTAATGTGGCGAGGAATGCACAGACCTGTACACTGAGAAAACTACACAACCACTTCATAAACACATGGCAGGAGAGCCAGCTGTGTGTGTGTGTGTGTGTGTGTGTGTGTGTGTGTGTGTGTGTGTGTGTGTGTGTGTGTGTGTGTGTGTGTGTGTGTGTGTGTGTGTGTGNTGTGTGTGTGTGTGTGTGTGTGTGTGTGTGTGTGTGTGTGTGTGTGTGAGAGAGATATTATATCATTTAACATTCATTTTGAGAGAACTGATCACAAATTGACAGCTCTAAGTTCGTCTCTTCACACCCACCGTTAAAATGTATTTCATGTTACCACACAGGTCTCACTTCCTCTCTGTATGGAAATACAGACGCACCATTGCTTTTCACAAAACCAAATGTTGTTTTTAGCCAATCTGAGTTTACAGATGTGTCTATCTATGTGTGTGTGTGTGTGTGTGTGTGTGTGTGTGTGTGTGTGTGTGTTCGTGTAACATGTCAGTACAACACAGTACAACAGTATGACCCACAATGTGTTTTTCATAGTTATTTGACCATCTTCGTCCTCCTCTGCCTCCTACAGAGGTACTATGGCAAATCCCTGCCGTTCGGCAAAGACTCTTTCAACATCCCACAGGTCGGCCTGCTGACCGTGGAGCAGGCCCTCGCCGACTACAGTGTCATGATCACTGGACTGAAGCAGCAGCTGGCGGCCACAGACTGTCCTGTCATCGTGTTTGGTGGCAGGTAGGATGCACCCAACCAACAATTTTCTTACATTGAGTGACTTGTGCAGTTTGTCCAAAAGTGTTTATCTCTTAAATAAACTCCTTAGTCCAAAGCTGGTTGTTCTTTCTGAAACATGAATTCTTAAGAGTATTAGAGCTGATGTTAGTGGGCAGTGTTCTAATGTTCCCACTAATTTGCCCTCAAGTTTTACACATGAACCAAAATGTTGTCTCTGTGATTCACTGACTCAAACTAAATCCACTGAACCAACAGACAATGTTTGGTCATTTAGATATTTGACCTATATTGATTTTTTTGTTGTTTAGTAAACCAGTTCAATCCAGTCCAACAGCCCTGCAATATGTCCTACCCCCCCTCTTTTCCACCCATCTCTCCTCTCCTCCCCCGTCTTCTTTGCTCACCCCAACCAGTCGAGGCAGGTGTCCGCCCACATTGAGTCTGGTTCTAGAGGTTTCTCTCTGTTAATGAGGGAGTTTTTCTCTCCACAGTCGCCAAAGTGCTGCTCATTGTGGGAACTGTTGGGTTTCTCTATATTAATATGATTTTAAGGTCTTGACCTTCTATGTAAAGAGCCTTGAGATCATGTATATTATGATTTAGTGCTATACAAATAAAAAACGGAACATGTCAACAATAAAACACATAAAAGTAGCATGTACAGATAATCAAGACAGACCAGTGAACATTAAAAATAAACAGCTAACACATTTCCTCAATGAATTGTTTAGTCAATGAAATATTAAAAAACAACAATAATAAGTTCCCATCATATTGATTTTCAACAAGCAGCAAACAGCAAGTATTCACATTTGAGAAGCTGGCACAAGAGACTGTTGTCTGGCAGTTTTATTTTGACAAGGACACAAACGGTCGACTTAAACTGCAACTGTATTTTTGTTAAATCGACTAATTAATTCAGTTCTAGTTTCTCCAAAATGACCTGCATCACCTATAGACTTAACACACATCACAGAGCAACAGACACATCACAGAGCAACAGACACATCACAGAGCAACAGACACATCACAGAGCAACAGACACATCACAGAGCAACAGACACATCACAGAGTAACAGACCCCGTGTGATCTGACTTAACAAAGTGCAGTGCTGGCTGTCAGGCAGCCTTTTCGTGCTCATGTTTTCATTCCTCCTAAGTTTCCCTTTGCTTTCACATTACTGAATTCTGTTCAGAACACTAACCCAGATGCTCCTCGGTCCGTCTTAGGCCAGACAGGACTGATTTTATTTGCTCATGTTGTGTCCTCTTTGTCTGTCTCTTCTCTTCTCTGCAGTTACGGTGGAATGCTGTCAGTTTATATGAGACTCAAGTATCCAAATGTTGTGGCTGGAGCTCTGGCTGCCAGCGCCCCCATACTGTCCACTGCCGGTCTGGGAGATTCCCGTCAGTTTTTTCGAGATGTTACAGCTGTAAGTGCATGAACGATCTTTGTGTTACCGCTCACTTCGTTCTTTAAGTAGACAAGTGCACTTAGCTTTATTAAACCTAACATAAAAAGCTTCTAGAACATCTGAATTTGGGCCAAATGTCATTTCCCAAACACTTAAGTTTATTAAATCACTGCACTACAAAAAAAATAATGCATGAATTTACACACACACATGCAACTTGTGCTTCTCTTTTAAAGGACTTTGAGAGCGTTTCCCCTGAATGCAGTGATGCTGTGAGAGGAGCTTTCCATCGGCTGAAAGAATTAGCCGAGCACCAAGGTGAATCCGTGTGTTAATGCTCTGTCTGCAGAGAGGATGACCTTGCCAAAAAATGTTTGCTGTTTATGCTGCACAACACATATCTGAAATAACAAATTAAATGGCAACAAATTATAAAATAGATGCATTTTATATATATATAGGTGTACATGCTCCCTTTAAAGATCCAGTGTGTAAGATTTAGGTGAAAGGGATCTATTGGCAGAAATGTAATGTAGAATAATCCTCATGATGTTTTCACTAGTTTATTTCATCTAAATTGTATGAATTGTAGTTTTCTTTACGCCAGAAAAGAACCTTTATATTTAAATACTTTATATTTACATTGAGGGGGTCCTCTCTACAGAGGCCGCCATGTTTTTTACATTAGTCCAGACTGGACAAACTAAACACCTTTTGAGTTTTTATGACAACTGAAGCTACCACAGGTTCTTTTTCATGTTTGGAAGGAGAGGGTGAGGTGAGGGGTGTTCAGCTGCAACATGCAACTTCAACACTAGATATCACTAAATTCTACACACTGTACCTTTAAATGTAAATATACACACATGCACCCTCAGTACATACAATCATAGAGTTCTTTATAATAGAGGTACAATTGCTTATACATTTTCCAGGTGACATATATTGCAAAACATTAAATTGTTTCCTTTCCTGCACTAATAGATAAAAGTGTTGGTCTTTCTAAAATGCAGATTACAGCGGCATCCAGACAAAGTTTACTCTGTGCAAACCTCCGTCATCTGCTCAGGACATCCACCAGCTGTACGGCCTGCTGAGGAACGCCTTCACAATGATGGCCATGCTGGACTATCCCTACAGCACTCACTTCATGGGCAACATGCCCGCTAACCCTGTCAAGGTAGTTTCCATTGTTTTCAAACCAAAATTCAGTCATTTCAAACGCTTTCCATCAGAAATGTATCATATTCAGTTCATCTCAAGTTTCACAATATGCAAACAAAAAAGCAACTGTTCGCAAACCACTGTGGAGCAACAGCATATTAACCACATCTGTGAGCCTCCAGTGTGGCTGCACAGCTGCAGTTCTATCTCTTACACTGTGCTTCACTGGAGGCACTAACTGAGCGTCTCAGGCTGCTGCTCTAGAGGGTCTCGCTTATCTTCTCCGTGTGCATATATACAGTATGTCTTTCAAAGTTAAAGCACTCCAGCGTTTCTGTTGACTGAATCCATTCATTTGATTAAAAAAGGGTTTTATTGTGAAATATTTGCAGGACCACAAGATACACGGCTTCATACTGTAGGGACCTGGCATTTAGTGGAGTACAGATGCCTGCTTTTATTCAAGGGAAATACAGTAGTCATAACAGAAACTTTACATAGCAGCTCCGGAGCAGATACACAGGAGATATACAGTGGACACACTGCAGACACTCTCCCTGTGTGGAAAACTCACAGGAGTCGCAGCTGTCACGTGGTACACATGCGGCCCAGGAGTTAGAGGTCACCTGATACATCATCTAGATGTGTATTAGTGCATAGCAATAAGGGAAGGTGTCCCTGTAACTGCAGCACAGTGAATTTTAACAAAGAGAAATACACGGATGTTCCAAAAGAACAAATATCGAAGTAATAATTCTGCAGAGTACACAAAATAAAATAAAAAGATTTATAATAAAATAAAAAAGATATATATTGTACATCTGATTACAGACATCTGATAAAGTAGTTATTTTAAGATGAAGGAGAAAATGAGCCAAAATAAGAACTAAAGGGCAGATGTTATTTTAATGACAACAGTTCTACAGGGTACAGATAATAAAATAGAAATATTAAAAAAAAATCAATATATAATTACAGGGATTTGTTAATAGGGTGTTTTTTGGTAGTTTTTCCTTGTTCCTTGTTTCCTATTTAGTTTAAAGGGCGGATATCAAATACAATTTGAATGATAGAGATCTGATATAGTTATTTTAAGATGAAGGAGAAGATGAGCCAAAATGAGAACAAATGAGCAGATGTGACAAGAGTGACATAAATCTGATAAGACACATCAGTTCTAACAGTGACGCGTGTGATGGGCCTTTGATTTTCAGGTGGCTTGTGAAACCATGATGATTGGATCTGACCTACTTGTTAACCTCAGGAACACTGCAGGTAAAAGAAATGAACACTGTCTTATTTAAAGCAGCTTAGAACTCTGTGTGCATCACCCGAAGAGATCGCTCCGACACAACGATCACAATCACAAAGTGATGAATAATTGTCGGGTGGTAGGGAGCTGAAATCAAATCAGTTTGTTCCACAGGACCGTGGTTATTTCAGATTCTGGTAAATGAAGATGAGCAAGTAGAGATTTAAAGTATGACATCTGAGGGGTAGAGCAGTTCAATCCCAGTCTTCCCCATCTGCATGCCGAGGTGTCATGTGCAAGATGCTGAACCCTGAATGTATGAATGTGTGTGTGAGTGGCAGACTGTACTGTAAAGGGCTTTGAGTGGTCATCAAGACTAGAGAAGTGCTTCATTAATACAAACCATTTATCTCCAGTTGCTTATTAGATATATTTCATGTCAGGAGCCACTAGAGGGCAGTGGCCAGCTTCATATTCCATAACTTAAAACTACACTTACCAGCAAATGCTTTTATTCTTTGAGAATACAATCATTAGCAAGCTGTGCCAAGGTGGGGGTTGCTTTTATTTTGCTTTGTATCACCATCATGTCTGATTGACCTCCCTTAACCAGACACTGAATTAACCTCCATGTTGTCCTCCTGCAGGGATTGTGTATAATTCTACTGGGTTGCTGACATGTTTCGACCTGTACAATCTGTATCTGGAGTGTGCTGATCCCACTGGATGTGGACTGGGCTTCAACAGCATGGCCTGGGACTACCAGGTAACTCCACATCCCCCGACACTGCACAACATATCATATTATTACTGTAAGTGATCATTTCAGGCTGTATTCAACATTTACTGGATTTAAGTGTTAGATAGATGAGTGAAAGTATAGATTTAATACAACTTTGCATGTGCCTGATATGTACATTTATATTTTATACATGTTAAACATACAGTTAAGGATGAAACTGAAAAGGATACATATATCTCAGGGTGAGAAAGATCAAGACGACTGCCATATTTGTCAGTCAATCAAATTTTCAATCACATTTCATTTGTATAGCCCAAATTCACAAATCACCATTTGTGTAAATATGAAGTATTTAAATATAAAGAAAAAAACATTTGTACAATTTAGATGAAACACACTAGTGGCATCACTAGGTTTTATTTTGTATTCAGTTTCTGAATCTTACACACTGGACCTTTAACCCTCAACAAGAGTAAGGAAACCATTTAACATCGACACAATTACAATATTTACAACATTGATTAGTTATTAACACTGTGGAAGGGTGTCCATGTTTAAAGTGTTTATACAAAAGAAAAGGTCTGAGAGAAGATGCAGACAAAGATGGAAAGACAACAAGGTTTGAGAGATTTTGATGCAAATGTTCTTGTTGTTGTGAACGTGTCTCCTTCTGGGTTCTTTATATGTTTAAGGCAAACTCTGGAAAATGTCCAAGCCAAATTGTCCGCACGTTTTCCAGAGTTCATTATCTGTATATTTTTCCTGATCGGTTGACAAAATTAATATCTCATTCATGCACTGAGCTTCATCTTAACAATGACTAACCCTGCGTCTGTGGTGGTTGCAGGCGTGCACAGAGGTCAATCTGTGCTTTGAGAGCAACAACGTGACAGACATGTTTCCTCCCATGTCCTTCACTGAGAGAGACCGGGAGGTTTACTGCTCCAAACGCTGGGCTGTGGTTCCACGACCAGACTGGTTCAAAACCCAGTTCTGGGGCGACGGTGAGCTGAATCCTAATATCAGACACACCACAGTCGGTCCTGATTGTATCGCAGCATCTTGACGTGTGATCCAGAACGTGTGATGAAGAACTGGAGTAGTTTAATCACACTGAACAGGCAGGGTCACACTGTATCACTGTGTTCAGTGTGTTTAAGTTTAGTGATATCACTAACAGTATAGAACCTGTGTGATGCGGAAGCTTTAAACCCACATTGATTCACAGAGAACTTTTCAGTGAAGCAGTCGAGAATTCCTTTGAAATGAATAACTTCACATTCATGTCAAAAATGACGAACGACTAAATGTAATTTAAATAATATATTCAAAGTTTTATATATATTTTCTAACAGCTTGTCTGGAAGAGAGCGATGAAACTGGACGGTTTAACCCTTTAGAACCGTTTTGGGTCATATAGTTGTTCAATCTCTTCTTAAAGTGTTAAAGGAGCCATTCATATTCAGGTTCATATTTCTTAGTTGAATTATTCTGTGTTTCCCACCAGATGAATTCAATCTATGGCGGATAGATTCCCGAGTGACAGCTACACAGGCTAAAGAGTGATAGAAGTTCTCATGTGAGAGAAGGAACTGCATTGAAGCCACAACTGCAGCTTAAACCATGAGGTCTGTGTGGACGGGAAAAAGCCCTGCACAGATAAATTAGAAATCCCTTGTGTTATTATGAGAAGTGTAAAAAAAAATGTTTGTTCAATATGCAACTGTGGCAGGACAAATATGGTGTGCAGTCACAGTGAAGATAATTAATGGGAAACACTGGTTGTTGCTTGAAAATGGTTACTAGCTCTAATGTCCGGAAAACACATCACCTCAATCTGTCCATTGTTGCAGCTCCTCTTTTCAGCCTCTGTCGGAAAAACCTTCAGCTCCTGTCTCTTTAAGGCCCCACCCTCCAGATAAAGCTCCGCCTGGCTCGCTCTTTGATTCGTCAACCGTTTCCAGCGCACATAAGAAATGTCGACCGTGTAGAAGTGCGTTATACCAATGTGATGTCATATGACGTGCACAGACGTCAAGGGAAAACTGAAAAAGCAACATCATTGTCTCCTTTTACATCTGATGAGCAGTGATTCATGTTTTTCTAGATGTTTTGACATGAGTCAACAGGAATAAAACTTGTTTCCCTATTTCTCTTTGATTCTAATGAACTTTGCTCTTATGTTCAGACCTCTCCACAGCCAGCAACATCATCTTCTCCAATGGAGATCTGGACCCATGGGCAAACGGAGGGGTAAGAGATGGAACCAAGTCAGTTGACTTCAGTGAGCTGTGAAGCCACTGTTGTCAGTCTGTTGCGCTAACCCGCTCTCTGCTGTTTAGGTGCGCAAGTCCTTGAGCTCATCGCTGATCGCTGTCAACATCCCTGAGGGAGCCCATCATCTGGACCTGAGGTACAGCCAGCTGTCGGCCCCTAGGACGCTCACTTCTGATTTAAACTCACACAGCAAAATCTAATACGACTCTATTGTTTCCTGCAGAGGATCCCACGATGCTGATCCAGCGTCAGTGATCGCTGCCAGGAAAACAGAAGCAGACATCATCGCACAGTGGGTGAAGATGGAGAGGGGAAGGTTAAATAAGTCACTTTAAAGCTCAGTCTCTCTGATATTAAAAAGTGAATGGTTGATATCATGTGTGGTAACACAAAGGATAATATCCTGTAAATAATCCAGTGCCTCTTAAATCATTTCCTGATGCAGTATTTCACACTCCTACAAAATAGAGTTGGAGTGTGTTAGTTACTGGTTTGAATAATTATTTGTGCTGAACAAAACTCATGTGTCTCTTGTAGGTGGGGGTAGATTATAGAAGTGAGTTCACTCTGGAACCGAAGCTAATGTCAGTGTGTGTGATGAATGTGTTTGAGTGTGATGCCAGTGAACTGCGTCATCTCAGGAGCTGCTCACTGCTGAGCTCAGTTCAAACCGTGCATGTCCATGCAGTGGAGAAATATGCACCTCACCACAACTCTACACAGGCAGCAGTGCTACAAAGCTGACGTGTTCAAACAGCCAGTTTCTATCCGACCAACAGTTCAGGACCTCAAGATATTCTATCACAGAGGGCTGAGGAAACCAGGGTCTATCCACAGCTGAGAAGCTTCAACATGGGATTTTCATGTTAAAACTGCTCAACTTTCCTTTTTGACTCCTTAATGAATTGTCGTAGCGTTATTTCAGCTCGATGTTTACTCTTTAGTTCCGGTTGAAACACACAAGAACAAGTCAAATCATCAGTCATGAAGAAACAGAGAGGGAACCAGAAACCCCCTCCTTTACTCAGCCTTCGGTGGGACGATCCAGGGTCAAACACACTTTTACTAGTGCTCCCTCTGTAGATCAGTGCCTGAATTGCATGTGACTGGAGTGCTGGCTGTTGGGTTTAATGGTTGGCAGTTTTCTGCTTCTCACCGATCACCTCATTTACGCTACCTGCTCCTCTCTCTGAGCCAGTGACCCCATCATGTGATTGGATCTGGATATCTCAGTGAAATGAGAGGGAGCTGCTCTCGCTGTTTCTCTTGTTATACAATAAAAAAAAGTGTGTGAGGCAGATCACCATCACTGCAGACCGGTCAATGATTAACACAAATATTGTTTCTGTTCAATAAAAGCTTTTTCATCATTTTAATTTTTTTGCACAGAATGAATGCAGGTCCAGCGTTTATTTTACACCAAGTGACATCAACAATACATTTCATAAGGTTTGAAATGGAAAGAAAAACAACCAATAAGGCCGCCCCTCCGTCAGAACAAAGCTCTTACACGTGTTCCCCACATTTGTATGTAAGATCCCATCTCGCAGCGTCGGCAGAGGTCACACTTCAGACAGAGGACACAGCACTCAAGTGACCGTGACCATGAGGATGTCTTGGAATAAATGGAGAATACCAATCGCTACTTTTCAAACAATGTCAATGGATAAAGTATAAAAACACACCACCTCCTCCCTCCTCAGTGAACTTGACTAGTGGCTGTAAAGTTTTGCCTTGTCCTAGGAGAGAGAAAATGGGTGTAGTCAGCGTGGAGCCTCCTCAAAACCTCTGCCAGCAGATATGTATTTAGTCATGTTTTGGCTATTTGGGGCAAACTAGAACCTGTCGCAAAATGAAATTAGCGTGTCTTCATCTTTCGAGCCTGCAGGGGACTGTTGTTACTGGAAATATCACCAGTCACCTGGGGCAGACAGTGGCTGTGATGAATATAATCCTGGGTTTATCAGTTTGATGCTTGACCTGCGTTCCAGGACACTTCGGGGACAGTCGTTAGGTCCACTGGCTTCTATTTTCAGTAAATCTGACATAATGTGAACATGTGGGTCTGCAACAATTTAACAATCATATCAACCTCTATAACCAGAGATTATTGTATATACATTTGACAGGTAATTACAGTGTACGTTCACACAGTGAGTAAGTATTTAGAACCCCTAACTCCAACTTTACCAACTGTACTCAACAACTCTGGCCTCAGCGCTGTCCTGTTCTTGTACTTATATATATAAATATGTTTTGAGTGAGGTTTTAATCTTCCCACTCTGGTTAAATACACTTTAATGTGCTTTGTGTAGCGATACCACTGTAATGATCTAATAATAAGAAACTGATTGTTGGGCAAGTCTGACTGTAAACAACTGTACAGCTGTGGGTGTGTGTGGCCTGCTGTTAAAAGTCATCAGTGGCTTTTGTCTAAAAATATTGAGTCTTCAAAACCCACACCAGTGACACTGTTATCAAAAGCACTGAAAATATCTCCTTTGTTAGTTTTTCCTGAAAGATGTGGCTTTGGAGAGAATGGCTTTTCATCGTAAGAACAAACCAAACGCTGGGGGTGAAGGTATCTCCAGCAAGTCTTTGGCTCAGATTTTATGCTGAAGGATCCAGGGAGGGATCACGCAGAGCCCTTGTAAGTAGGATTTAAATTCACACTGGGAGAGATTAGCATCATGTAAACCTAATGATTGCGTTGAGGGAAAAATATCAATCTTCAATCCTACTGTAAAAATTCTCATCACCATCACACACTGTTGTAAGTCAGCTACATGTAAAAAATAGCTCGGATGAATAGAAATGCACGTTTACGGACAGCTAGCAGTTGGTCTTTTGAATGTTGTCTGAAGCAACATTAAAGGCACACGTGAGGAAAATAACAGAATGAACTAAATGAGGTTTGGTCTCAATTCAAAGTTTTTAAAAGTAACAACTACAAGCGGAGCTATGATGTTAACTAGTGGTATTTATAGGAAGGACTGCAAACTGCTCTGAAGTGGCCACTACAACAAAAACTGAACAAAACACAATCCCAGCTCACTGTATTTAGATAGCTGCAATTACAACATTAAACACACACTAGAAATCAATATATTATGCTGAATGTATATTTAAAATCTAACAGGTCAATGAGAATAATAATAAAAACCTTACAGAGGTAAATGACAAAAGAAAGCAATGGAACATTCAGCGTGAAGAGCAACTGCTCAGGACACAAAAAACCCACAAAGAAATAAACAGAACCATAAATGCTCAGAACTCACGACTACGCTCATAAAACAAAAGCTTCACAGTTCAGAAGTAAATCTGCTGCCTGGCAACAGCTGGAATAAGTTTGTCTGCGTCCCATGTTGAGACAGATGCTGCATTCATGTCATGTGGGGAGAAAAGCTGCTACATGTTTTTTATAGGTCATGAAGAGAAATTTCGGGTGGCTGGGGGAAATCTAATCTGCTTTTGAATCATGAATACTTTGCCGTTTTTCATACATGCTGCTTCCAAATGACAAACGGATATTGTACTATCATCATATGCCCCAAACCCTACAGTAAATGTTTGTAGCTGCCAACTGCATATGACTGGTCCGTGTAATCCATTAATCAAGTAGCACTTTCCAAGCAATGTCTTCTTGACCTGAGGTTACTGAGCGGGATTTTTGTGCTGTAAAATCCCACCATATCCTGTATGACATGAAAGCAGCACGGGACACAAAACACACACTCCTTTTACACCTGGCATTGAAATGCGACCTGTATCCAGATTAAATGAAGGTATGATTTGAACCTGATTTTCAACTGGTATTAATGTGTGTCTGCAGTGTTCACACTGAAGTCTGACCGTCCTCTTGTTTGAAGAGATCCATCAGCAAACAACAAAAAAGAGAAGAGGCTGTTATTGTGTTTTCTTGCTTTTGGATCTCGTCTTCACTCCGTCCACAGGTGTCTTGAGTAATGTGAGGACTGCTTCCTGTGTTCACTGGCTAATGGCTGCTAGCTGTGTAGCTGCTACTTCACTGGTTTGAAACGGTTGCATGGATTTCGTTTTTTCACCTGTAACTTTATACTTGTGTTCAATGTTCAATCACAATACGTCCTTGACCTCTGGAGTTGATTTGGACAATTTAACAATGATCACATTTTAATGCAGGTATAAATGTGTTAACAGCCTGTTGGCACGCTCTGCTCTGTTCAGGAAGAATAGTTCTTGCCAGAGCACTTAAGAGACTCTATACAGTGTGATAAGGAATTAGCTTTTTCCTCAGATCCCTGCAACGGTGGCACCCATGTGCAAACATGTCGGCAGAGCAGTCAGGTTCTCTGTGCAGCAGGCTGTGGCTGGTTTCAGCTCTCACAGCTGGCGGCTGCTGTAAGGGAACTTTTTTTTTTGCTGCTTTCACACCTCGCACTGAGGTAAGACCACCAGACACTGGCTTTGTGTCCCAATGGATTACATTCTGTTTCAGAAACGTCTCCATTGTAATAATACAATGCAGGGCTACAAATTAAGACATGAAAGTGTCGGAGGATTTTCTCTGGAATAAAAATGGTAATTTTTAGAAATTGAACATACGTGACTGTAAGCAAATATAAGCAGCTTCAATCTGAAAATATCAATTATCAGTCAAAACCTTACACTCCACCTTCCCCCATAACATGTTACTAAGACGGCTTCAGTTCAAGTCACATTCAGGTTCCTCTCCAGTGCTGACGTAATCTGAGAGAGAGAACAGAAACCTTCCTCCGCTCCTCCAGAAAACACTCTGTCACTAACAGAAATCCTAATGACAAATATGTATAAATAAGCTACACACCGACCCAAGCTCCTGTGATTTCACCAAGACCAAGCACATAGCAAACAATAGATCCAATCAGAAAAGAGGCTTTTTTCCATCTGTGTTCAGGGTCGTTTTGGCAGTTCACTCACTGAGACAGAAGGGGTGTAGCTATCATCTTGGTGTTTGACCAACCCTGAGATAATTTGTTGTGTTTATACGTTTGAATTCTTCCCTGTGTGTGTCACGCAGTGGAAGGCCAAATAGGCAGAGGATGAGCTTCAGTGTTGAAGACGTACTGGTCTAAGCTGATGAGGTTGGGGTCATCTGAGAAGAGCAGGTACAGATATTTCAGGGTCTCTCCGAGGAAGAAGCTCTCCATCTTGTCTTGAGGACTCGGATAGCCTGGGTCGCGCACATTATTGATGGAGGTGTAGCCACCAGAGGAAACCTGGAACACACACATTCACAACTCACACTTTAAGATATAAAAGAGGTTCTTTTTTTAAACCTATCCACAATTATTACTAGGGTCAAACATTTAGTTGTTACCAACAAGTAAGATGCACAAGCATATAGTCCCATAGTCCCTCTGGCTCTTCTCTCTATCTCGTTTCAGATAACTCCGGCACCGGGACTACAGGACCACAACGACCACCATCACCATTGTCTGCATTTATTACAATAACTCAGTAATTCATTAATATATCTAATCCTGTTGTAGATCACTACATTGTTATTGTTATGGTTAGCCTTGATTTTGATGGTGCCAAATTGTTACCGGTCTCTCTCTCTCCACCTCATCTCTCTCTTCTCTCCCCCGCTTTCCACCCATCTCTCCTTTCCTCCCCCCTTACTTTTCTTTCCTCACCCCAACCGGTCGAGGCAGATGACCGCCCACATTGAGCCTGGTTCTGCCAGAGGTTTCTCCCTGTTAATGAGGGAGTTTTTCCTCTCCACAGTCGCCTGTGCTTGCTCATTGTGGGAACTGTTGGGTTTCTCTATGTTAATATTGTYTTAAGGTCTTGACCTTTAAATGTAAAGTGCCTTGAGATAATGTAAATTATGAATTGGCGCTATATAAATAAAATTGAATTGAATTGAATTGAATAGTCACAGTTCTCTTCAAGAAAGGGGAAATGAATTTGTATGGTTTACCAATTACACCTTTTATAAGGCTTATAATTAGCTGCTTAAATAATGTCACACAGGACCAGAACTGTTGTGAGCAGTCAAACAGGAAAAAGTAAGATACTGAGAGCAGGGGCAGTTGGTGCAGTCACACACACATTAACAGTGTTATCAGACATATGTATAAACTCAGTCTGGGTAAAATCAACAGAATCTGTGAACTTAGTTAATGTGTAGAGCTGAAGGAGATTTCTGGTCGCTCAGTTCGGTTTGACGCGGTTGGCGTGGTGCAAGGCACGGATGATTTTCAATATGGTATGTATGTTGTCTGTGTGAAATGAGTTAATGAGCTCACATAACTGAGCACTGAACAGCAGACCTGCATATAAAAGCCCAACTCACACACTGACTCCAAATCAAGACATTTGACTTACCTTAGTGTACTTGTTAAAGTTTTTAAGAATCTCCCAACCCCACTGCTGGTACTTGAGGTCCTTGGTAAACCTGTAAAGGTAGAAGAGACTCTCCACAGTCTCTGGTCGCAGGAGGTTGTGTCTATCGGCAAGCTAGAACAGACAATACAAGAGAGACACAAACAATAAATTGTGAGTCACCTCTGATTCTTAGACTTGATCACATTTTTGCTGATTTCCTGTATTTCTTCGGCCCAGTGTTTTCTGTAACACTCTCAGACAAATACGTCTGACCCACCAGGCATTTAAAAAATATTTCGACCTACTTTCACATCAATGTCTCTGATGCTGCCCTCATGCATATTGAAGTGGACAATCTCTGGACTGAGGCCTGTCTCCATCTGGACGTACATCTGGTAGCAGGTCTCCATCAGCTGTTTAGCCAGATCCATATGATCAGCAGGCAGGCCATTGTGAGCACCAAGGGCCAGAGTGCCTGGCAGGAAACACACTAGATGGTCCTGAATGAACAGACAAATACAGTTGAGTGCTCCATACTGATATGAATGATCAGTTAATGAATTCATGAGCTCTGATTAATGATTTCTGATTATAATTTTAAGTCTACAGTCTAAAGCTTACTGGTTGTTTGTTATCTTCTGATATTACTGATGATTTCACTGAAACCAAATTACAAACACTATATTTAGCTAAGTTTAACAGAATTCAGAGCAACAGGTAATGTTTATGAATATTACTGACCATTTTAGAACTGAACTGTCCATGTGAGACCTCTCCTACAAAAGTAAGGCCATTAGGAGAAGACTTCTGCAACATGTTCTTCTTTACACCTTCTATTGCTTGTAGATAGTCCTCCAATAGCCTAAAATCACACACACACACACACA